GTAGCCACCACCTTACTTCCCAATAGTATCACCAGCACCACCACTGTCTAAAAGCTCCATGCCATCTCCACCAAACCAGACCAAATATTCCACCATCCAACAAACCAATCTGCCAACACACCAATCTACTAGGTTGAGAACCCCATCACCAACCAACGTGATGCGGGACAATAAAAGAGATGAAAAAGAGAGAGACGGAAGAGAAAAAGAAGAAGAAAAGGCTAGGAAGATAAGTAGAAGTGAGAAGAGAAAAGAAGGAAGAGAAGTATGCAGGTTTTCATCACCAACTAACGTGATGTGGGACAATAAAAGAGATGAAAAGAAGAGAGAGAGAAGAGAAAAAGAAGAAGAAAAGGCCAGGAAGATGAGTAGAAGTGAGAAGAGAAAAGGAGGAAGAGAAGTATGCAAGTTTTTCTTAATTCATCAAAAGTTGTCTACATTGTACAAAAATTACATCTATATATTATCACAACCAACAATTAGACCTATAACCCCCTAAATAACATGTTAAAAAAAAACAACATAAATTATATCTAATAATAAAACCAAATAAAATCCAATAGCTTAGGCATGGATGTCCTAATCTTCCAATCAAAAAGTGATGGGTTCGGCTATCCTCCATCATCTTCAACCATAAATGGGTGTGAATTCTGTTAAGTTTGGTGTCCCCACCAGCTGTTTCAGGGTTGAAAACCTTGACTCCATCGAGTACAACTCCAAGTGGCTCCAATATTACTTCTGGAGATCAGGATCAATTTGTTGCAATATATCTCTGGTGATGATCAGCAAATCCTATATCCACTTCGGACTAAACTTAGATTACTAGAGAGACAACAACATCGAGTGTTTCCAACTTAATTCCTATTGGAGATTATCTATGAAGTTTAGGATTTTTCTCAAGACCTTTTTATTTAACCCCAACTTAATTCCTAATTAATCTAGTTTCCAACTATGTCAGTAATAAATCTTTGAACATAGCAATCTAGGGATAAAATAAGGTAGCAATGACTAACATATTATAAATTCTCATATAAATTTGAAGTTCCTTTGCACTGGACCAAGACATGCATTATAGGATGGCTTTCCACAGAAGAACTAATTAAACTTCCAAATGCAATAACTGTATTCAGTGTGATTGCAACCAACCATTCTTATAGAAATCAGTTTTTTTGCTCTAGATGAGGATATGCATCATATGGTCATTTTTTTCTTTATGGACTAATTACAACTTACACAAATGGATGAAACAAAATTAGACAAGGAAAAAAACAAAGTCTCACCGCAGGAGCAGCTTCCAATGCTCCATCAGCAGTTGAAAATGTCACATGCGTGAATCCATTATCCTTCATAAATTTAGGACCCAGCTGTATATAGAAGCAAAAAGAAACAAAACCAAATGGGACCTCTTAATTAGAAGCTAATGAAAAGGAATAATTCCTAGACTGTGTTAGTCATGATATGTCTAAAATGAACCCACGTACATGACTGAAGCCGGTAGCAACACGAAGAGGTTTTTCAGTTGTCCATTGAGGCATTTGTGCTAGTTCCCTCAGTGAATTTATATTTTCAAAAATCCCATATTTGGGAATCTATAAGAAAGGAAAGCCACACGATAAGAATAAATAATGGCAACTATGAGCAAAATCAGCATTTAGACATTGAAGTTTGTGGGCTTATATTGAGAACATGATAAAATCTTACTGCAATGGATAAACGGCATTCCCCATATCCAAGAGCATCATGAACAATGATAAGATCTTCGTTTCCCTGACAAAAAGTTAAAAACTGAATAATGCATTCTTACACAATCATAGCAAGAATAAAGAAACAAGAGATCAGTGCCAGAATGATTCAAGGTAAGAGGAAAAAAAAAAGTGCTGCTACAACATACTCTCTTCTTAAAGGTAGAGATTACAGCATTTGAGTTCAATAATTAAAAGAAAAACACAATAACAACTGAATTTTGTAACAGATGCCATGCATTTGAGAAATAGATAATACTGAGCTCTAAACTTCCAACTAAACTTGGTGATGTCCAGCATTGCAGAAGCAGTCTATAGGCTCATGGCAATGTCTAAAGCCTGTGTGGTACCATTTTGCGAAGTATAAACTTGATTTCTATTTCTCAGTTTTTGGGATAGTGATGATTGAGTAGACAAAAGGAAAGTTCTGAACCAAAAGGCATATGAGAATGCAGTAGGTTTTGAATGCATTTCAAAAACCATATTTTTGGAATTCCAAGATATTTATAACCATTTTTTTTTAAAGGCAACAACAGTAAGAACAAACTCAGTATCTTTCACATATAATTGCCGATCTGTTGACTTGAAGAAATCATAAAAAGCATATACCATGTTTCCGATATTCACTATTTAATTTGTGGAATGAACCATGTATCTGGGTTAGCATATGATATCTATAACATCAGCAAAATAACGAAGAAATCTCTCAAATTAGCAATCATTTAATAGTTATGTCAGCTAGTTACTGCTTACCAGTCCGAACTCGCTGAAAGTATCAAAACCCACAATTCCAAGGTCCAAATCTCCTGATAACAACTTTCGTACAATGTCTTTGGGTCTTTGGAACCAAACTTCCACGTTGGTAAGCTGCACAACAGTCAATAGTAAGCAGAAATAATTGATAAAAAAAACAGTCATTTTCAATTCAATCCAATAATTATAGATGATAAACCTGAGGAATTTCTGCAACGTATTGTCGAGGATTCACATGCTTCACAGATAGCTGACAATCCTAATCCAAAAACAAAACCAAGAAAGCTCAAAATAAAGTGACGGATGGATAGGTCATTATCATAAATAATTAAGCAAATAAGTAGATAATACCTTGAGAAGATCAAGAGTGTCAGCAGCCATGCGTCCTTTGCTAGGCAAACCTAAACGAATCTCTTTCCTGTCAGAGACTGTACTTCCATTGGTAACCGACGATAAGATTTGAGATTGCTGCTGCTGAGACAAGCTACAGCAAACAGCAACACTACTAGTGTGGCCGCCGAAACGGAGTCGTCTTTGTCTCTGAGAATAGGGGGAGACGCGAAAAGAGAAGGAACAAGGAAGAGGGATGGAAGGGGAGAGAGGGGAGGGGCATTGTTGCAAATAACAAGGCTGCTGGAGTCTAGACAAAGACATGACTGGTTGGTATTTAGCTTGTGTAAAGGGGAAAATGAGGCTGAGGCTGAGGCCGCTGCTATGGCTGATATGATTGAATTTCAACGGAGCAACAGAAAACAAAACCGAGTATGCTATTAGCAGGGTTTAGGTTTAGACTGTGGAGCGGCCTCCAGTTTGGACGAGCATGGTTGGTTGAGCTTATCTCGAGCAAATTATTTTTTAAAATATTTTTTATTTAAAAATATATTAAAATAATATTTTTATTATTATTATAAAATTATTTTTAATATCAACATTAAAAAAATAATAATTTTAAAACACATTTCCCAACCTCCTTAAAGTTATCTCATTTTTTGTTGCAATTTGATTATTTTTTTATTTAAAAAAATATTTTTTATAATTTTCTTCTCCTTTTTTTTTTTTTTTTTTTAAATAAAAATAAAGTTATCTCATTTTTTGTTGCAATTTGATTATTTTTTTATTTTAAAAAATATTTTTTATAATTATTATATTTTTTATTTTTAAATAAAAATTAAATTTATTTTTAGGTACCTTTTGTTTTAAAGGTCAGTTAATACCTCTTTTTATTTGAAAATAATACTGCCGTTTTTGCTTTGTTTTGGAGACAAAGATACCAAAACTCTTTTTTTTAATTAAAATAATATATTTTCATCGAGTTTTTCAACAAATTACACAGGCTAAAAATACTATTGTTTTCCATCGCTCAATTTTAAAGCCATATATTTTTTTTATATTATTGGAAATTCTCTAATAAATTAAAAATATTCACAATTCAGTTTGGTTCGATTAGGTTTAGATTTAAAAAACCAACCAAACTAAATTACATTAATTTTGTAAAATATTAACTAAACTAGATCGAAAACCAGGTTTTTTAAATCCAATATGTTTAAAATTAGGATTTAATCTTAAATATATATGTTAGCAACAAATACATATGATTGATTCAACTTGGAATTCATAGCTTATGAAAATTTATTGTCATAACCTAATTCTAAATTTGAACTTGAATTAAAATTTGGCAGATATATAGTACTCGAGCTTTCATATCGATTATTAACTAAATTACTATTTCTTAAGCTTGTAGAAGCATTTGATAAGGAGGTAGATGTTCTACTTCCATCACAACTATCGACTAACTTAGATGATTTTTTTAAAAGCTTCTTTACTTAAGTTCTTTTTTACTTAAGTTCATAGTATGCATTAAGAGGAAACTAGGAAAAAAAGATTGAGAATTAATTAAGAGGAAGATTAAGAATTCTTCGGAGCAAGACACCAATTTTTTGTGAGAGGCAAGAAGAGAAAGGTTATTTTAATTATTAGGGTTAGCCAATTAGATTGCAATTTAACTATTTATATTTCATATATTTTTGTAACTTTTGGCTTTTAGTGAATTTGGTTCAGTTTGGTTCAATTTCTGGTTTAAAATCAAAACTAAACCGGATATGTTAAAATTTATTATTTTTAAAATCAGTTTAATTAGTTTTTCATTTTGATTCAATTTTTTTAGTTAATTTTTCTTTGATTTTATCTATTTTTTTAATTAGTTATTTTGAACATCTTTATATTAAACTATGTGCTTGTGTGTTTTTATACTCTTTAACTTTTTTATTTTTTTATTTTTTAAATTTAAGAATCACTCTAGAAAATGCGTACATGTAATCTTAAAATATTATAAAACATTTAATATATAGTTATTAAGATATTTTTAGGGTACAAGAGCATTTACGCTCATACGAGCCAAGCTAAATTCGTAGCTATGAGAGCATTTCTAGCAGTGCAGCTAAAAGAACAAGCCAAAAAAAAAAAAGAGGCTAAACTTTTAACTTTTATATTTGTTTTTAAATATTCCAATCGGTTAGTTAATATTTTTTTTTAAATACTCCAATAGGTTAGTTAAATGGACACCTAAAATAGTTGTTGAAGATAGGAAATGCTATTTTTATATTTTTCTATA